TAGCAGTGTAGATCCCTGGAAAGTCTCGCTGCCAGATACGCTGTCCTACCGCCCATATAGCAGCCAGCTCTGGGGTTGCCTGTAATTAAAATCTGTATCAGAGGTCTCAAATTCATGGTGCTTTATGTTAGACTAATTGGAAGCAAACAAAAAACTCACTGTTTTGATCGCTTGGGGTATCCGTTTCCAAAGGTATCTAGCATTATTCCTGCATAAAAAAGTGACTATGAAAATCAACTGATAATTTAAATGTATTAACATCAAATAATTCATGCAACATACTCACATGTCATTATGCAGGAGATACAGGACTAGTAACTGAGAATACACCTGAGGTGTAGCAATGCCACCGGGAGACTACGATACAAGGAAACATGATTTAAAATGAATGACATTTAGGAGATGATTATGACAATTTGTATAACAAACATTCAATCATGCCTGCAATAAAATAACAAGTAAACACGAGCACCGTGAAAATTATTACTACACACAAAACTTCATAAACATTAACGCACAAGTTCCATTCCACATGAATGAATTTTAAAGTCTCTATTTTAAGTTACACTGGTGCCTAGAGCTGGCTTTACATGACTAATAATGCTGTTCAACTGACAGACCCAGATACTATTGCTGTTTAGCATGCAACAAACATCAGCAAAATAAAAGTATTAATAAATCAGTATCTCTGTCTGCTTTTACCTCTAGTTCTTGAGTTTCAAACTGCAACAGCAGCTTTTCATCAGGTTCAGCCATCATGACAGACACGGGCATCTTTTACAGGAGCTTCCTATGCTAACGGCTAAGAAAAATAAACCGCTGCTGCTCTGGCCCTGTGACGTGACGCCCCACTGCCCCCTGTTGGATTGGAGAGCAAACGACGCCACCACGCCTCTTACATTTTTGTATAGCTGAAAAACAAAAATGTGAGGACTGGAGGTACAGTACTTGTGGCTAGTTGTACTCATATTAGCACGTATATTGCTGCAGTCGCTCTACTTCCTTCAGAGACCCATTTGTGCACAGATATGAGCATGAGTCAAGTGAAGTCAAGTATATTTATATAGCAGTTTCACAATATTGCATCAAAGCAGCTTCAAGTTCACAGTATCAATCAAAACATAATACAATGTTCGTTTCTTAGTGGAACAACCTCCAGATTGGTTGAGCTGATCAATGGTATTCATGATTGGTTAATTAATTTGAATATCCCCATATTGCAGGCTTAATAGCTCACTGAACTGCTTTTCTCAGAAATTGTAAGGTCCAATTGATTGACTGTCCTGCTGCTAGGCCAGCTGCTCACTAGGTTGTCTAGAGAGAAGTGTCTATAATAATCCACCTCTCTTAACACTACACTGTATTTAGAAGAGTATTACTGTGAATGCTTACACATGAAGTCCTTGCGTTGTGTTTAAAACTTTCTGAAGCTACACCAAATATATTCTGTTATTGCGATAATACATTTCATTAATCCATGTTTCTTTGCTTGCTCCACTCTTGTGTGACTGGCTGAGATTTCACATTAGTTTTGACATGATAAATGCTAACATCAGTCTTATAAACATTTAGATCAACTTACAGTCCGATCTATATTTAGATGTAACCACCAAGAACAACAACAACAGATGCGCAGCATATGAAATTTATTACAGTCTTCAGCATTTTATGGAAGGTTAAAACCCTACGAACAGTGACGGTGTTGAGAAACATTGTCAGACAACATTGTATTGGAAGAATCAGAATTTGTACATGCTCTTAAAGGGATAGTTCACTTCAAAATGAAAATTCTGTCATCATATACTCACCCTCAATTTGTTTCAAACCTGAATTTATTTCTTCTGCTGAACATAAAGGAAGATATTTTGAAGAATGTCAGTAACCATACCTATGGAGCGAATTATGTGCCAAAATTAAACAAACAAATCCAGCATTTTGCAAACAAACTCAATCTGCTTTGCGAAGGAAAACTCGACTCGCAAACAAACAGAAAGCAATTTGCAAATATAAAGTGGGACCAAAAAATGTAAGGCCCTGCATGAAACCAACACTGCTAGATTATAGCCATGAAAATAACAAACCATTAATTTGAATGTGTCCTCATTGCATTGCTCATTGTCCTCATCGGTACAGCCATTAAATACCCAAGTATGTCATCAGCTGTTTGGGAGATGTTTTAAATATAGTTACATGTGAGGTCAGCTAATGAATACTTTCACATGCACCTACACAACTGTATAAGAACTGCCTATAAAAGCAATCAAAACCTTAAAGCCATATGTTTTGACTTAATTCAAGTAATCAGCACTTAAAGGGATACTCCACTTTTTTTTTTGGAAATAGGCTCCTTTTCCCCAATTGTTAAACAGTTGAGTTTTACCGTTTTCGAATCCATTCAGCCGATTTTTAGAAGAATGTCAGTAACCAGAGAGTTTCTGGTCTCATTGACTTCCATAGTATATACTGATATTCTTCTAAATATCAGAAAATCGACAGAATGCATTTGAAAACGGTGAAACTCAACTTTTTAACTCTGGGGGAGTTGTAAAATCAGCCTATTTCCGAAAAAGTGGAGTATCCCTTTAATGCTAAATAAACTAATGAATTTTCATCAAGGAGAAACTGATGCCCTTTCACTTATCACTGAATTACAGTTGACAGCTCAGGGCACTTTTGGAATTAAGGTCACAAGGTAAAGCACCTGTGTGGATCAGATTCTGGGCAGCTGTGTGGCCAGTCTGATTGGAGAACAATGCTGTCACACCTCATGATTTGTTGAAACGGAGAGTTGGAGTCTATTCCTGGCTTGTGTAGTGGTGATATCACCAGCAATGCTTTCCACTCAGCTGTGCATCTGGCATATTTATCGAACTCAGCCTCTGTGTTGTTGGTGAAAAAAATAATCAAGGCATCCTTGACATGCAATTGCCCTGCACTGATCACATGTCATTTGTACTAAAAATACAGGATAGAGCAACAGTGATAATATAAATAGACATAAAACAGGACAGGTAAGAAGTGGAAAGGGTTGTCAATATTAGCCATGCTCTCCCAAGGCGCTGTGAGTCGAAAGGCCACGTTCTTGACAGAGAGAAGGCGGTCGTCTTTAGAAAAGACCAAAGGTCATAAAAAACCAGGGTTGGACTTCATTTGTCCCCCTGTTCTCGATGACCTGTTAACTCACCACTGGAGGGACATGCAATATGGATTCTCTGATCCAGAGCAACTGAACAAAGTGTTAGAGTTTCAGAGTGATGAACTGCTGTGGACTGCTCAGAAGCAGGGTGAGTCAGATTTGATGAATAAGACAAAATATTATTATGCATTTGTAATGTTTCAGAGAGGACTTATGTTGATCAAAATAGAAAAATTCAATGAAAATCATATCAGTCATGGTCTTGAGTTTCAATATTCTGCTGAAAGGCAGCATATGTTGTGCATCTGTTGTGAACAACACCAACCAGAAGTTTGGAAACTGGTTCCCAGAATTGGATTCAGGTATGCTGGAGCAATTAACTGGCTTCTTAAATAGCTTAAATAGGTTTAGTGTTTATTTTGTCTGCGCAGGACTAGTGGGTGCAGCAAATCAATGTAGTTCACCAGAAAGTCAGTGATGGCTTTTTTTTCTTTTTTTTTTCTCAGTGAACAACATTGTTTTGAGAACCAGTTTGTAGTCTCATTCTGACATCACATGTATAAATCATATTCTAAATAAACTAATGCATTAAAGGGATAGTTTACCCAAAAAGGAAAATGTGTCATTGTTCTTTTGTCATTCGAAATTTTAATCATGGTTTAACTTTGTTAAACTTAATTAAATCCAAGTCTTCTAAAGAGACAAGATCGTTTTATATGATGAACAGGATTCATTTATGCCTTTATTTGCATATAAACATTGCTCATCGCATATATTTTGAGCATATCACAAATAAACAGAAGCTCAACCATACTTGGTTGATAATTTCATTAAAAAAAAATATCTTAATTTGTGTTCCAAAGATGAACTAAAGTCTTATGGGTTTGTAATGGCATGAGGGTGAGAAAATAATGAATTACCAATTAAATTTGACAGTCTACTGACCAATAACCAGATTTAACAATTTTTTGACAACAACTGTATATATATATATATATATGACATATTCAAGTAATCCTGTAATCCAGGCTTCGACTTCGGGCAGCGCGTCTGCTAGTAAACTCCCCTCACATTCCCTACACTCACTCTTGATGAGACAGGCTTCCTACATGAGACACACTGACATATTGAAGCTTTTCATGCAAGGATAACAAAGCTTGTGTCTTTTAAAATAGACTAAACTTGCCACGCTCTACAAGTCTTTTATCACTTAGAAAGCTCTTAACTCATGGCATTCTGTGGGCAGATGGCACATTACTGAGGTAAGGAATCTGTGTGGAGTTGACACTGGATTGCTAAGGGATTGGGGTAATCTTCTGTGCATATGAATGTCATGCACAGATCAATACTCGAGAGCCCTGATCCCAGTTATTGTTTGGGTTGGTCTCCATGCAACACTCCTATTACTCATTCTGCAGATTCCAGTAAAGATTTTCCTGGTGTGCCCTCAAAATCAATGATCTCATACAACCCAGAGATTATGCCATTGCAATTAAACTCTGCTTCTACTATAAATATCTAACCTGTTACGCTATAGACACTTTTCAGCACAGGCTACATGGAAGTCGCATAAAATTTGATCCATTTAACAGAGCATGTTTTAAATGTCCCTGAAAGACGGGTCTATTATTCAAATAAAACAAGTCTACAAATGGACATGGATGTTTGCAGCTCAAAGGATTTAGCATATCTCATACATCAACAACTAAAAATGGCGCCAGTAAGCTATGATGACCAACTGATGGAGAACAATGGCTTACTAAAAATAAAGGCAAAAAGTGCTTGAAGCCATAGGAAAACATGACTAGCACTATATAAACTCAAGTCCTTGAAAGCATGAGCCATTTGAAAAGTTAGGCGGAGATGCTAAGAACTATGTGCTTTGAGAACCTCTGTTCAACCGTGCAGCTGAATGGATGGCAGGCTCTGCTGGATGATAACTGTGAGTTAGGACAAGATCATTGGGAAAGAGCTCATTTACGTTCCTTGTGGCTCTATAGAGCGGTAGTGAAGGGAGACTCCAGAGGGCTTCGAACCCTCCTTAAAAGGAACTATATTGATGTTGATGTGTTTTACAATGTGAGCCGGGAGGAACTCGAGTGGAAATCTCAGACAGAAACCACATTTGGACCCTCAGGTAAAAACAGTCATTTGTGGGATGGAAACTAGGTATTTTGAAAATGTTGTTGTATAAAACAAAGATTAAACATTTTATACTGTGGAGCATTTCTTTCAGATTTGTTTTAGATGTATTATTTCTCTATTACATTTTGAGTATTTTAAAATCTATTATTTTAAGACTTTACTATTCCTACTCTTAATACTTTCATTTAATTAATTCTATCTTATTATTCATTATTACTCTCAAGATATATTTTTAGCAATTCAATGGAAGTAACCATTAGGCCTATTTTGTTTACTTGTTTAGAGTACAATCTTTTCTGTAATATAATTTACTGCTTTGTCAAAAGTGCCAGTAAGATTTTTATTTTTTTTAACTCACCAAGGCTGCATTTATTTGATTATTTTAATATATTTTAAAATGTAATATTCCATTTAATATTCACATTTAATAAGTTTTAATTGTAACATTTTGTCTTGTTTTCTGTGAGATTCAGCGATACCCAGAGCTATCTCTAACACAGATGGATCTCAACTTGTCACAATAATATAAAACCCTCCTGATATTAGAGTAACAATAAGAAGAATAAAATAAAGCTAATGTTGTTAACTTTTGGAGCTTGGAAGGGTTCAGTTTCAGCAGATGTTTTATACCATCTTCCTTATCAGAGAATGTGTCAATTTCACATTCAGCATCTGACTCATTTACGATCTTTAAAATCAATATTTTGATCGTTGACAGCTTCTTTACCAGATCCATCGAGTGACAGTGACATTAATATTTAATTGTGTTCAGTACTTGCTCTGCAGTAAATCGCTGAGCCATTTCAAGTTTTGATTATCTGTTTTTTTAGCTTTGTTTTTGCCTGCTGTAACTCACTTCATCATTGTGTATCAAATATTGCTACCTTGTGGAATAATTCTTATTCAGTCATCAAAGATTGAATTATCATTGTGCTGAAAAAAATGATAATTCTAGTATAATAATTATTTTATTTTTATTTTTTGTTTGTTTGTTTTATAATGAATTGATTGAGGAATACTAAGATAGCATAAAGGCAACTTTTAATTAACAAGGATGAAGGTAGTGAATAACATCCCAGGTCACCAAAGCAACATCGGCATCAACATCGGCAGAGCGTTTGAATTATGGAGAGACCTCTGCTATTTTTAATTTGATAAATTACAAGTTTTCAGATATGCTGAAATAAATAATGGTAAACTGTAACAGGTAAATTACAACATATAGGCCTATGAGACATGAAATGACAAAAGACTGTTCCAGGATAATAAAATAAAATTATTTTATGTACTAGATCTACTGTCTAACGTCATTCATCCCACTACTATCATATCGTTCACACACATTTCCAGACACTTTCAGTGCAGTAATGTTACTTCCTACGATCTTACTGTTACACTGAAATTGTTCAGTCTAGTTCACTAACCGTTTCCGTTATCATATTATACATTCACCCATGTTGACATTGCTGATTGTGAAAGATACATGAATAGTTGTAATTCCTTATGCTAGATAACACCACAAATGTAACGCTATCATGGTACGAGCATGGAGCGTTAAGCTGATAAAAGTGTCCTATTATTGTAAAGTTGAGTGGGAGTTTACATGAGTTTTCAGCATGCTATGTGATGCTTTCTCCGGTGTGTTAAGTCTCAGTGTGGCCGAGCACGTGCAAGAGCACTTTTGTAAAAATTGCAAAAGAAACATCACCGATAGAGACCGCAAAAAAATACATATAGCACCTTTAAGGGTTAAAAAAACATATCACAGTTGTGACTGTCTGGTAATACTTCCCATTTCAGGTCTTTGGTCTTTGGAGTACAAAAGAGAACTGACAAGCCCACTGTGTATTGCTGCTGCACAAGGTTTCACCGAATGTCTACAGTATTTACTGGAGCATGGCGCACACCCCAACCTTCTCGCGGGAGGAAAAGCGGCACTTCATGAGGCCTGTGTAAACGCCAACACTGAATGTGTAGAGCTGCTGCTGGAACATGGAGCTAATCCTAACCAGATTACAGAGGAGGGACTGACTGCCTTACATCTCTGCACAACACCACAATCACTACGGTAGGCTATCATCATTTGAAAATTATACATACTTAGTATTAATACGCCTTATTTTTATCATTATCACGACTATAATTCAAATGCAATAGTAAAATATATACTGTAGCTACTAAATTAAACAAGAAGTATGAATATAGTCACATTATGTTGTTTTACAGTAATAATTTAAATGAAACCCATATTAGTAATATTTTATCTTTAGTGCCAAATATGCAGGTTCTTCCCCCCGAAAATAGTTACACATTGTTTTTGCAGTGCAAGCTGGATTATTAAAAAAGTAGGCCCATCTATAATGCATTTTAGAAAAAATCAGTTCAAGCTGCAGTGTTTGTATTCTCTCATATTGAGCATTTGCTGTACATTTTTATTGTAGCTGTGCAAAAGCCTTGGTGAGATATGGCGCCAAGGTGAACGTTCCCAGTGAGGAAGAGGAAGAAACGCCATTGCATGTGGCAGCTAGACATGGTCTGCCCCACCATGCGCAGCTGTACCTACGTTTTGGAACCTGTGTAAACCATAGCAGCTCTTCAGGTGAAACACCACTGGGGGTGGTGTGTGGAGTCGCACCAGAAACGACAGCCAACAGCGAAGATGAACGATACCTCGAGCTCTGTCATCTCCTCCTGGCCTATGGAGCAAACATTAATTTAGCTGATAAAGAGCGCCGCAGTCCTCTACACAAGGCAGCCCACAACGTTCAGCATAAGATGGTGGACCTTCTTTTGAATCATGGGGCTGATATCAATGCCATTGACTACAACGGATGTTCACCGCTATCTAGAGTTCTACAGTGCTCTGTGGTTCGGCAAAAATGGGAACCTCACATGGTTGTTCAGACCTTGTTAAATCGCGGCTCCATTAAAGTCTGGCCACAAGCACTTCTGAAGGTTATCACTAATAACATTAAATAATGGCATATTGCAATACTCGACAAAAAAAAATTACACAACATTTTCTTACTACTGAATTCAAGTCTTTTAATTTGCTGATGTCTCATGCATTTGATATGATCAGTTTTTAAAATGTAATGTTTTGTTTTGTTTTAAGGTATTGACAGCCTGTGCAGGGGCACCTAAAACTGTGGAAATCCTGTTTAACTCATACACATTTGTTCCTGTAACCTACAAATGGGTGGAGGCCATACCTGAGGATATCTTTCATGTGAGTCTCTTATTTCACCAGGATCTTTGAATGCATACTTGTGTAAACATGATTTATAGCATAATTATTTCAAATAATGTGTAGCAAAACCAGGCTAAAAGCTTAAAAAAATCAAATCTTTGGAATTAGTCAATGCATGTTTGCATTATTGTACCATAGTGAAGCACAATGGATACATATTAATACATTAATATTCATATAATTCTTTTTTAGCTTCACCAACCCTTTTATGAGTCTCTTTTTGCTCTGGAGTATAGACCACGTAGTTTACAGCATCTGTGTCGGTCTGCGCTGAGGAAACAGTTTGGGAAAAATTGCTACTCACTCATTCCCAGTCTCCCTGTGCCAAAGCCACTACAGCAGTATCTTCTTCTGGAACCTGAAGGGTACTTCGACTAGAACCAGACCTTTTGGCAAATAAAAACAGATTACTTCTGAAGGCTTTTTTAGCGTTATAAATTAAGTAGTCTGACAAAGCCGACTTCCTTACATTTCACAAGCAGTGATATTTTTAGAGAGGGTTTTTTTTTTTCACCTGTTTCACCTATTTCACCTGTCATACAGTATATAGACTGATATTTTAGTGTAATTAGGGTGAATTGCCCTAAAGTGGTAAAATGTCATCATATACAGTATGAGGGTAAAGTAATCAGCAAACAAGAAACACCTTGTGTGAAGACCACCCAAAGGTCAGTGACATAGCAAATTTTTGGTCTAATGTGCTTAAATGTTTGTCCATTGAAAAAAAAATGTATAACTTTGTATGTATAAACTATGTTACCAAATTTCCTAGTGTCCCACTTTAAGAAATGTGGTGTTGCAAAATGGGACAGTATGATTAGCCAAATGTGGGACCATACTTCTGTCAGTCAAAAATGTGTGGTGGGGCATGGTTTGTGGGATAAAAATGGTTATTTACAGGCTTTTAGTGTTGTGGAATTCTGAGTAAAGGTTGAATAGCCTGAAGTTTGATCAGTCTGGGGTTTTTTTTGTTTGTTTTTGCAAGTTGCCAGATTTTATATTTTCAAATATCCCTATGCCTGTTGTGATAGTTAGTATGTACTTGTTAAGTAAAATTAACTAGAGAACAGTCAGGAATTCTGACTGCATTTTCTGTTACATAGGCCTATAATAGTGCTTAATGTTGTTCAGTAGTCCATGTTTCATCCATCCATAACCAAGAGAACTACTAACTTAAGAAGATTTTCCTATTCTACATGGATCAAGGTGATTGTGGCCTTATATCATAGACTTTTCAGTGTCCCACATTAGATACACAACATTAATGGTCTTAGTGTAAGTCGTCTGAGACTGTCATTTCTTTTATGAATGTGTAATCTGAATTATCTCTTTTGATTTGATTAGGACACATTCTGGGAATTTTAAAATGGTATTGGGTGTGTGTATTTAATGTTTTGTCTACACATTGCAATATGTCAAAAAAGTCTGAAATGCCAAAAATGCCCCATGTTAGGGCAATTCACCCTAGCTTTACAATACAATTTTATTGTTTGAATGGCAGTGTTATGTGTATGCTATGAATTCTTATTTAGTTCTAATTTCTATAAATATGTAGTTAAAGCTCATTTGATATTTTTGCATAATTATTTAATTAAGAAATATTTTTCTTGTTTGTCCTCCAATTAATATCTTTTGTCAAGTCTCCTTCATTTCTCAGAACACATTTATGTTTGTATTTTGTAAGGTGCAGTGAGCAGTAGCTACCCAAAAAACACAGAACGTTGGCACAACGTCAACCCAATCTTCTAACAAAGTTTTAACAACATGGCCAAAGATTGCTATAACTACGTTGTGTGGTGAAGGTTGGTACAGCGTTGTCACAATGTTGACATTGAACCACTGTTCAAATTTTCTATCCTTTAATCAAATACGTTACCCTTCGCTCTCCTCTCGAAACAACTTCTCGGCCCAGTCCCAAATGGCTCTCTCCGGACTTATGGACTTGCAGACCTATAGGGCCCTTATAGGGCCCTCAGCGCGAGTCCGCAAGGGCGCATTGAGAGGTTTTGGTTGTTGTTGCCTGGTTGTAAAACATGACAATGTGGGGCTCAGGTCAGGAAGCAGACAGACGGGCTAAACCGACCGACTAGCGGCCTCACGTCGCTAAAGTCAGATTAATCGCATCACATAGAGCCTCTTTCACTTAGATATCGCCATATAGAGACTGTGTCTGTTCCCAGAATTTGGAAATCCAAAAAACCTCTGGTTAAAAATTCAATTGATGTTCAACAAATAAAAAAACAGATATAATAGAGGAGCAAATGAAAGCTTGGGTTGCTGAATATGCCAATCCCTTATTTCAAAATCACTCATAGTTAATGATAAGATCTCAGATTATAATCTGAGGTGTTTGACAGAAACCTGGCTAAAACCCAACGATTGCATTACTTTAAATAAGTCAACCACACAAGATTGCTGTTATAAACATAAACCTTGTCTGAAAGGCAAAGGGGGGAGGTGTTGCTGTAATTTATAGTAATATTTTCAAAACCACTAAGAAATCTTGTTTTAAATATACTTCTTTGTGTTGCTTTGTTTTACATTAAGTTTTGCTTAATGTAAAAATACATAGTGTAAAAAATCGTTTCGCTAAATAAGACCCTATTCCTCAGCTGGGATCGTACAGAGCCGTTTGAAGCACGTCAAAGCCCACGAAAAATCCTGAAATGTTTTCCTCAAAAAATCTTTTCCACCGAAGAAAGAAAGGCATGAACATCTTGGATGGCATTCGGAGTGAGTGAGTGAATCAGGAAATTTTCATTTTGAGGTGAACTAATCCCCCTTAACACCATGAGAGGGCGATCTACTCCATGTAGATAGTGGTGGTTGAGGAGATTTCCCCTTCCATATGTAAAGAGCTTTCGGTAGGTTTATGGAGTTAATTTTATGCCATAATCAAACAAACAAATCCAGCATTTTGCAAACAAACTCAATCTGCTTTGCAAAGGAAAATGACTTGTTCGGTGTAACATTTTTACAAAAATGTAAAAAAAAGCAACATATGGCAGAGCTTTTAGCTTCAATCAAATGCCAATTGCAAATATACACTTTTCCAAAAATATATTCATCCTAAATGTCCATGTCCATGTGTGTATATATTACATACAATAACAACAAACAAAACAACACTAATTAACTATTCTAGAGGGGTTGCAAGGAATAAATAAAAAATACAGGTTTAAATCTTACCAAACTTAAAAGGAAAGAGAAACTCTTGACAAAATAGAGTTTACCTTTTTTATCAGATAAGGAGAAACATAAAGAGAGTAACATGGGTAAATCAGTTTAGATCTGCTTTGGAGTATTCCAATGTATTCTCATCCTAGGGCGTCATGACGCTTTTGACCATGCATCTAATTCCGACGCACATTTTTGTTTATGTTTCTCCTTAACTGATAAAAAAGGTAAACTCAATTTTGTCTAATTTTATATGGAAAAACAAAACTCATTATATTAAAAAAAACAGATGAAACTCTGATGATTAAAGATTATAAAAATGGAGGTCTAAAAGCCTCTTAATTTGAATCAATGGTTGGAGTACTAAAACTGAATTGGATTAAAATGTATTTAGCACAACCTAACTCAATGTGGTATCATATTCCAAAGTCTGTATTCAAGCAAGTTAGAGGACTAGATTTTTTTCTGAAATGTGAGGTTTCCGAATTGCCAGTTAAGCTTTTAAAATTCCACAAACAGATTCTGCACTACAGGAAATTGATATTCGCCCAAAATGTTTCACCACATTGTTCAACATTGTGAAATAATAGAACCATTACAATAAAACTATCGCAAATCAAAGTGAAAGTAAGTCGCAGACGCTTAACACACAATTGTCATCATTAAAAGTAAAGAAACGAAATAATCTTACCATGGGCTACTTTTCCCAAAAGCATCGTAAGCCTATTGATCATAGAGACCATATAGATAAAGCCTAGAAGTGTTACGGCGGAGTTTCCATCGTCATCACCAGCGGCCATCTTGTCACAGACAAGCTGATGTAAGATGAGTGGTCAGCACGAACACAAATACTCGTATCTCATTGAAATCTTGACGGATTTACAAACGGTTTGGTTTCTTAGAAACGTTATTAACGTGGCTATAATTATCTGGATGATTATTTATTTATACACTTTTTATTCATAAGTATGCAGTGTCATAACTACATCTCTGATGTTTATAACAAAACAAACCGTTTGAAAATCGGTAGAAAATTGAGCAAGTTATGGTCATTGAAATAGTACATGTACCATTAACACAATGTTACGAGTGAGCGAGCTGCCTGTGACAAGATGGCCGCCAGGTGCAGACGTCGACCTCCATTGGCCAGCAGTGTGGACGACATATAGCCTTTATATAGATATCTATGATAGAGACCATTGGTGGCCAGGGTTGGCCAAGGCTGTTGCCGCTCTCTCTTATTTATACTCTTATTCATGTTGCCACTCTCTCTTATTCAGACTGCAGTCACGTGACTACCATGGTTGCCTGGCGGGTAACAAATGAGTATTTTCAATGTGAGTCCTGTAGTTCCAGGTCTTTCTAGTAGCTTTCTGTTAGCGAGCTAGCTGCTTAACTACGGACTAGGATTAACTCCAAGGTGAAGGTAGTTAAATTATGTAAAGCAGACAAGGTTTTTTTTTTTCAGATAATCGAGCAGTAATAAGCTGGTGGCTTTGATTGACGAAACTACAGGTCAACTTAAAGACACGATTAATTACATGATCATACACCCATTGTATTCAAGTTGATTCAAATCAAATGTTGATTTCGAATCAATTGTTGAAATTACCTTTGATTGAGTGATGGAATGATCACTGCACAGACGTGTAACGTGTGAAGGTTGTGAACACAAAGGAAGATTTTTGGAAGAATGTTTTAATCAAACAGATCTCAATCCCCATTGACTTCCATAGGTGACTATTAGTAGGAAAAAATACATATATGGTAGTCAATGGGGATTGAGATCTGTTTGATTAAAACATTCTTCCAAATATCTTCCTTTGTGTACAGCAGAACAAATAAACACAGAGAGGTTTGGAGCAACTTGAGGGTGAGTAAATGATGATAGAATTTTCATTTTTGGGTGAACTATCCCTTTAAATGCAGTTTGTAGGATGGTTTGTATTTATATGTGAAATTGTATAGTCTAATTTATTTATACAATGCATATGTGTTACATTTGTGTTCCACTACATTTTCTCTCAGACTGGCCTTTGTACTTGTTTTTGTTTGTTTGTTTTGTTTTTGTTTTTTGTTGTTGTTTTTTCTTTTTGCAAATAAGCAGATCGAGTCAAGTTTTGTTTCAAGTCAAGTTTTCCTCTGAAAAGTAGATCGAGTTTGTTTGCAAAATGCTGGATTTGTTTGTATTATTATGGCACAATATTTAGGCTACCTAGAAAAGCTAAAATTTATTATTATTATTAGAATAAAGCTTTTTTCTAGAAATAGTATCTTGTTGCCTACATTAAGATATTTAAGTTATATCTCAAGAGTCCTTGTATTTTTCTTAATATGTAGAACACTTTGGCAAAATAATCAACTGTGAGTGCGAAAAATTTCTGTTTTTGTCATTGTGTCGCAACGCATCCATAATCCATATGCAGCATCCATCGATTATGTTTTAAGATTAATAATATTTCCGTAATGCCTTATAGCTTTATAGATACTTTAAGTGTTTAATTATTTATTTGTTTATCGTATGTCCACATTCCACGCAGACCGAGTGCGTATTATGTTTGTCCAGAAATACTCGCTGTGTGCCACCTGGGAGCGGTAAACGCGCTATTGAATTGAATGAACGACGGTGACGCAAAAGCTTCACGAGCGAACCAGATTAGACAGACTCTGGCTTGTCATTGTTAGCTGTTCCTGTCACCCTTACCGGGGTCGTTTGTCCATTTCAGCTTAAAAAAGTTATTCGCAGTCATTGTGTGCCGTGTACGTGCATGGGCGTAAAGTGCAGAAGAGAAAACGGGAGGCATGTGAAGTTACTGTCTGACTCTCACCAGAGATGAAGAATTCAGTGGAAGATGAGTGTGCTGATTCAGGAGCGGAGACCGGAGGGTAAGCGATATTTTGCTAAGATAATGAAATGACGTAGGCTACTGCGAATGTATCGATGATGCCCTTGCTTAGACGCTGATGTGATACAGTGAGTCATTTGACGAGGATTCTGATTCATTATATTTGACAGGGCGCTTAAAGTTTTCTTGTTTCGCTTCTAACTTACCTCTTTTGCCCCATTTCTCATTTAACCATCTGTTGTTTGGCATTAACACCCAAGACATCTGGCGCAGAGATTTACTGATGAAATGAGTTCAGCTTTATTGCATGCTTCTAGACTGATTAGCACAAGAGTGTGACAGAAGTAGCCATACTAATAATCACATAGCTCTCACTTCAGCTCTCTACCTGAGATTTAACTCTTTTATCATTTCAAAGTCATGTGTGATCTGTACCATCATTCTGTGCTTTCAGCTGTGAACGATGAAAAGATGCATCCTGGTTTGTTTATAGGTATGTCACATTATAATGGCTGTGTTGTAGGTGTAGGTATGCTTTAGTAGGACTGTAGTCTTGCGGCACATTGATTAAATCCTACATTCTGGAGTAAATATGACTGTGTATATAATCTGTTTTAGAATATTATTTCTTTAGATATACTAGAATAATTTGTTCAGAAGAAAATGGCCTCAGCACCTTTCTAATGACTTCAGTGACCGCCTTCCAGTCTTCAATTAGCTGATGTATTTATCTAAAGCCACTTACAGTAGGCTACACAGGAGCAACCTTTGGTTCAAGTTCAATGTTGATAGCTTATCCATAATTGAGTTAGAACCACATCATTTCTGTTAGAATGTCCTTTTTACCACTGAGATTGATCATCGATCTAGTTCTAGATCAAACTTATACTTTAAATGGACAAAAATCTCTTCAGAATTTATCTGACCTAAAAATGCATTGTATCTGGATGATCCGGTAAAAATAATATGAAGGATGCATTCCCATATGTAAATATAACCTATTGAATGAATATCTTCCACGTAGTGGTTTTCAGATTAGGTTTACATGGGCGTTTTATTGTTAATTGTTGTGTGCCTCATATTCTCATTTGGTTTGTTTCCAAAACAGTAACTGACTGTAAACTGCATGAATGGCAGTTGATCATAGAATAATAAAAAAAAAATGCTTTCTAATGGTGTTTATGAGTTCATTGTTGAAGTGTGAGAATAATATAATCATTATACAGCCTCATTCATTCAGGGTTCGCAAATGTAAAACACATTTGATTCACTGTAATGACAATATTGGCCACATTTAGAGGCTTTTATGATACTTTTCTTTGTATTAAATATTACATAGAAACACAAAAGTGCTTTTGCTGTTAAATGCCAAGTATAGACCATGGCATACAGTACAATACATAAAAGTTTTTGAAAGAAGTCTCTTATGCTATCATCATTCCATCATTCTAATCATTCTAATATGCTTATATGATGCTCAAGAAACATTTATTTTATCAACTTTGAAAACAATTGTGCATCTTTATATTTTTGTGGAAACCATGATTAATTTTTTCAAGAAAATATTAGATTAATAGAAATTTAAAAAGAAACAGCATTTATTTGAAATAGCCACCTTTTGTAACTTTACAAATATCTTACCATCACTTTGATTAATTTAATGTGCCCTAGAAAAAAAAAAGTATTAAATTCTTAAGAACTTCTTACTGACCCACATCTTTTGAACAGTAGTGTACGTTGCACCATTTTACCAGTAAAGACCATAAAATTACAGCATTAAATGACAACATTCAAAATTCAAGTTTAACTACACATAATTTCCTTGTTCTTAAAAATAATTGGTATTGCACTTTTCTCACCACCAGATAAATAGGAAAGACAGCGAGAGAGTTATAGGAAAGGAAAAAGATTGACCAGAGAGCAATATAAAAAAAAAGCATGTACAATGAAAAAACAAACAAAAAAACTCTAGGTCACTTTATGGCGCTTGTACTATGAAATATTTTAAACAGGTCTCACTCTTTGTTTGTTTTTAACCTTTCTCAGCAAATGTTGAGCTGGGAGTATTGAAGGTTTTTGACACAAAGCAGCTAAAGACACAATCTTTGATCATAACTTTTGCATATATGTGTGTGTACTGTATAGAGGATCTACTACACACACTATACCATGACACCCAGGATTGTTTGTCCAGATGTAGGACCTTCCTTTGAAACCTTGGGATCCTAAATCACTCTAACAGTCTCTAACAAAAGTCTCTTTCTGTTTCTTTCTCCTTTCTGTCATTCTCAGGTCTGACTACAGTCTTATGTCATCAGCAAGCAGTGAGTACATGTCATTTGTTGGTACATTCCCCATGCAATTCAGATTAACTTTCTAATAAAACATGTCTTAATCAAACTCACGCACATACATTTTCAAGTCATATCTGACTGATGCACTTCAAATACCATCCTGTTGTCTTGTTCTAACTAGGGTGTTTTTAAGGGTATTATTTGCAAAGCTAATATGCATTTTGAAAAGCACATTATAAACTACAAGTGGAAGATTTCAGTTAGATAAAACACTTGACAATTGTTGCCATGACAGTGAGATTAGTTAGTTCTCGAAATCACAGCTTGAAGTGCTTCGCAGCTCTAACACCTCCGCTGTTTGTGTGTGAGTACCTGCTTGTGTGTGTGTGTGTGTGTGTCTGTGGCTGACCTTTCCATGTGGCTGTGTTGGGCCCAGTCTGTTTCCCTATGGAGGGATTAATGTCCAATATTAGCCCATTAATCTGGGCAGCAGGAAACACTCCTTCCAGTGACAGCGCAGGAAGAACTCTCTCACTCACTCACCCACTCACATATAGACACACTCACCTACTCACACATGCATACACACTCTAAAACCTAGAGCCCATCAAGGACACTGCATAATAGACTGTGTATAATTTACTGAAGAATGAAAAAAAGTGGTTCAGTGGGGAATCAGGGACAGAAAATGAAGAAAACAGATTAAGACTGTTTGAGAAATAAGGAGAGAGGAGGAGATAGAGAGTGTCTATCTCTCTCTCTCTCTCTCACACACACACACACACACACACACACACACACACACACTCATAAATTAAATATATATATATATATATATATATATATATATGAAGAGTTCAGATTTGAAATTTTCTTCTAGAATGATAATTTTTATCAAGCTTGTATATTTAAGTTCAGTGATTTCACTTAAATGGCAATGATAATTACCTATTAATTGTTATTTAAGTGAAATTACTGAACTTAAATATACAAGTTTGATAAAAATCAATATTAAAGAAGAAAATTTCAAATGGCATTTAGAGGCTTTTGCATCTGAACTCTTCATATATATATATATATATATATATATATATATTTCATTAGATGACAGGGTGCAATTTAGTCATATGAGTCATTTTGAATTCATATTCCATTGTCTATTTCTTTATCAAAACACCTCCACATGGAAGGGAAATGTTTTTCACTTTTTTTCCACATCCATCATTTCCCTTTATTGTTTCTGCATTCTCTCTCTTTTTCAACAGTATGACAATATGCTTTCTTGAAATGCTGCCATGAATAACTGCATACTGCTGCATCGTCAGTCATGTCAGCATTTCGTCGCTTCTGCAGCTCATCAGATTTTGTCTGTAACCATGTGCACAACACTTTCCTCTATATCTTTGTGTTGTCACATCACTAACAACTTCAATGCACTGCATAAACAGAATCTGGAGTCGAATGCATATTCTCTGGAATCTGTGGTCCCTCTTTATATCTCTGTCCATTTATTTACTTTTCTACACTGAAAAAAAGACAAATGCTTCATGTGGTTACATCCAAATCAATTGATTTTAATTCAAATCAAAAATGTTATTTAACATCAATCAGTCAACCTTAATGCATTATGTTACACCAACAAGATTAAATATAAGGGGCAGATAAGAGAGAAATAGCCACAATTGCAGGTCACCACTTTTACATTGTAGGAACGGCACCAGATTGGATGGTTAAGCTGGTGCTAAACTTATTTAATGGTGTTGCTTAAATCTCACACAGCCAAACAGATTAAATTCCATTACAGGCTCAACTGAGATTACCGATCAAGCTCAAGTTCTTGATACTAGCTGAACGCAGAGCTGTGTCTCATAGTCAGAAATTTACAGACCAGCTTTCCGTTATTTTGACATAAGCTAACATGAGAATATGCTGCTGTATTTCAACACTGTTACAGTAAGATTGGAATTTATTCATAATATGAAAAGGTAACTTAGTAAATTATGGTAGTATCACTGTCTTGTAAAAATTCACAAATTATAACTGAAAAAAAAATATTTAATAACTAAGCATTAATGTCACAATCCTCAGTCACCAGACCAGTCACCTTCCTCCTGGCTCACACCTGCACACATCTCACAATCATTCACACTTCCCATCAATCACCATCAGCTCCACTCTATTTAAGCCTGCTCCACATCCACACGCTCGTCAGTGTCTGGTCTCGTTGTTCAACACTGTCCAGTGATTTCTTAGTAATAATAAGTCAAAGAATACCGTTTCCTGAGAACCGTTTCGTGTGTCTGCGGGGCAAAATGCCATATTATTCACACATTTCTTCCAGCTGAAAGCTTTTGGCAATTAAAATTATTAACTGGATCACATTAGGTCTGTCGTGCATATGTATTCAATCTAGAGGTCATACAGTAGAAAAAAAAATGTGTATGGTTTGTCTGAGCAAGTACCTTTGCTTAGCGAATATATAGGCTACTGCTTAGTTTTTCTACACTGATCAATTGAAAGGATCCTTCATTAATGATGTGTGTCAATTACACCTGCAAGAGTGCAGTGCAACTAGAGAAGTGTGTTTACTTGCGTGAGTGTGTTTTTGTGTGTACGTGTGTAAGAGCATAGCGTTCCCTCGGCCTCTGGTGCCCCCAACCTTAAACAACAAACAAACTGGGACGAGTCCCATGAGCCAGGAGACAGAGTTTGGGGTGGGGTGGGGGTTGGAGGGGGTGTGGAGGAAAAGAAAGGGGCAGGTGTCCATGCCCTGCCCTGCCACTTTCTGCTATATACTGAGAAAAAATGTTTGATTCTGTGTTTGTTAGAGTAGCTATAAACAATAACTTTGTTCTCATAATAACAACACAAAGATATATCTTTCTGCTATAGATTATAGCAGCCAAGAAGATGGCTAGATCAATACAAGGGTTTGCTACATTATGCAGCATTTCTTAGAATGTTGAGCGATCATGTTTTTACATCACGTAATACTATTACAATTAATTCCTATGAGATTTTCTCTAATTCCTGCTCATGAATATTGAGGTTTAATTTCTGCAATCATAAAATGTCACATATGCCTCTATCCCTTTTGTGCTCAAGGATATGTGTGTGTGTGTGTGTTTGTGTGTGTGTGTCAGGTCTGGTCAAAGGTTCAGTGGAAAGGCAAACCTTTTTCAGAAGTCCTACAGGGAGCCAAAGCATTTCTCCAGGGTCACTAACCATCCACTAATGCAACTAATGAGGCTGTACTGTTCACTATACAGCCTGATTACAGAACATGAGAGCACATGGATGAAAAGATTTCATTCAGTCTTGAGAGCCCATCCATTTTTTTCATTTCCCGCAGTGCTTTCCTTTATAGAAGTCAAAGTTGAAGTAGGTTTGCCAGAACATAGCAGAACATGTAACAAACAACACCTCATATAAATAAAGGCAAGAACTAGTGTGTGATAGGCATAGTAGCAGTGCACAATTCTGGGGAAGCATATATCCCAAATAAGGAATAAATGGCTTACCATATATATTTGTAGTAGAAAACACAATGACAACATCAATTTGCTTTAAACAGTCAGCAAAAGGGTTGAATTACACATTAAAGGGATACTCCACCCAAAAATCTAAATTCTGTCATCATTTTTTCATTTTTGGGTGGAGTATCCCTTTAACGTGTAATTCAACCCTTTTGCTGACTGTTTAAAGCAAAATTCAGACCGTAATTTCTGTCCCTTTTAAAACTGCACACGTTCCCTTTTGTCTGTTTAATATTTGTATTATTAAAATATTATGAAAAAAAATTAAAAGAAAGAATGGTAGTTTTAAAGGATTGTGTTATAAATTGTGTCCTTGCTTAAAAAGGATTTAAAAATAACTTTTTATTATTACATTTTATTTATATTACTTTATAAAAATTATTTAAATTGCATGAAATGAAAATTCAATCTATTTTCTAAATCTACGTTTATGGACAATTCATCCATGCATGTTTCATTTTTTTTTTTAACCTTGTAATGTTTAATGAATATGTTTAATCCTAACTTTATCTTCCTGTGAAACAACAGACTTATGTCTGCTCATGTATTTTGTACTTCTCCAATTTGGTCCTGTTAAATCCCACACCTTTCTTACAATTCACTACAATCTAGCATTCAGATCTGCCTCCATCCAATTTAACTACCTTAGTATCCTTAGTTCCTTAGTATATTTTCCTATAAAGAAGTCACAATACACGACACAGAAGAAAAGATCTGTCATTACATTGTTTAATTGGAATTTATATTATATTAAATTAGTGCAGCAACATGTTTATGGATCATTCTCTTCTTGTCTCTCTATCCACCCACCTCTTGTTATGTTTTTTTGTTAGGTGATTTGTCCATGGGGGACCTACAAGACCCTTTCCTAGTTTCTATCCACATCATCACTGACCCCGGTCAGGCCAAAACGCTCCAGCAAGCAGCTGATCAGGTCCTTTCCTGGCTCCACCCGGAACTTACCCTCTTCAGGGTGTCAGAACGGGCAGGCGGTCTCTCTCGAAAGCCCAAGGCCCACCTACAGCGCGTCACTGAACCGCCATCACACCAGCCATCCTTGGCCGTCATCCTATTTCTACAGGATGAATACGGAGGTGAAGAGAGTCTTAAACGTCTCCACTGTCAGCTGAGATGCCCACCGTGGCGATACCACCACACAGAGCGTGTGAACGGACGAGGGCTGTTGCCCCTTTCACCAGCCAGCCAGGACTTTGTTACACTGGCACCAGGCACACCGCTATGGGCACTTCGCCAGGTCCACTATGGCAAAGAGATTGTGCGTTTTACGGTCTACTGTCGCTACGAGACCTACACTGAACAGGTGCGTCTGTACAGGCTGCTCCTGCGCCGAAGGCTTGCCCAGAAGAAGGAGGATTTCTGCTTCTGTGTGGTCTACTCCAACCCTGAGACAGAAATCCAGTTGTCGTTCAAGCGGGTGCCCCGAGGCCAGAGCCCCACCCCCACTGAAAATGCTGTGATGGAGATTCGAGTGAGGGATATCGGTGAACTCGTGCCATTGCTGCCACGCCCCTGCACGGCCATCAGTGATGTCCGCTGGCAAACCAACGATTATGATGGTAACAAAATATTGCTACAGGTAAGATGGAGAGTATATTATTGGAAAATATAACTTAAAGTAGCCTTTTTTGAGGTCCTAAAAATTTGTACGGCATGTAAATGACATCTCAGATACCATATGACTCCTTTCCATGAATTGTGTAAACATTTCAATTACTAAACTATGTGAGTAGAAGTGTATGGGAAATAAAGATTCCGATTGAAAGTTTATGAATCCGACAATGACATACTAAACTCCATATATTTTACATAGCATTGTAAAACTCTAATTAATCAACAGACTACATTAAATATTTGTTCTTTAAAGTATTATATTTTATTCACACCACAGTACTGTCAAAATGAACTATTGAAGGTGATTAAAATGCAAATAATAATAATAATAATAATATCAGTTACCTTTATCCACCTGTTTCCGGGGCAGCTACTGTAAAAAGTAAAGTGGGTGCAACTTCCGGTCAGACGGCGGAAGTAGCATAGCATACCAATGGTATTTTGTGTGCTATTTAGCAAAGAGGCTAGGCGCCTCCGTGTCTTGATTATTGTCTGCTATATTTAACATTACTTATTATTTATTAAACCCAGGTAATTTGTAGATGAAACATTGATTAAAATTAAGATACAATTAATACACAAAATTTGTTTGTGTCACGTTCCTCATGTGTATTCCCCTCATATTAAATATAAAATGCATACGTGTCATATTTTTCTAATCTCCGGACTCCTTTATTAATGGAGTATGATATATTAACAGAGGTTTCAATAGCCTAAATTCATTTTGACTGAAAACGTCACGTCCATAAGGCTGGAATCGCCCAATTTTAAATAATTTATTTATTTTGTGGTTTAGGTCTACAAATTTTATAATGATAACTTCAAATAATACAAATAGTACATTATGTATAATAATATATTATGTATAATAATAATAATACATTGTATGCAAACCTTAGATGCTGATGTGTATCCTAGTTGAGATCCAAACACCTCTAGCCTCTTGTGTGTGGACTGGATTCATGGTAAAAGTACCAAACAAACCTAAAGACAGCTTAACACACAAACAGATACAGGGCATTTTTGCTTGACCTGGATTAGTTGCGATCAAAGCAGGGTTGGCTCTCGCTCTACAGCTTTTTTACTAATCAACCCCTGCTGGTGCCAAATGGCACAGGGAGGATTTCACACACAATACACATTATTGCTCAAATGAAAATGCAAAAAATGAACGAGTCTATACAGAATGAATGAGTCTATACAGACATAGACAACGTCTCCCACTTAACTCAGCCTCCTCTATATATCATATAGACTTGTAGCAAATTCAGCTATGCCATAATTAATGAATCAAATAAATTTACTGTTACTGTATTTTGAGCAAATAAATATTACAGAAAAAAGATTCTTACCAAACCCAAACTTTTGAAAAGTAGTGTAAATACATTACAATACTGTAATTTTTACACTTCAAGACACATGTATTTTGATACTTTACTTTGCCAGTGACCATTTTGTTTACTCACCAAAAACATTTGGTGCTCAGTGAATGTTAATTTGACCCTACAGGAACCCATGAGGAATCCCCAGAGTGAAAAGAGGAAGATATAGCACATACAAATTGTAATTGAATAGAATGACAAAGAGAAAAAAATATGAATGTGGAGAATGTGGGAAATGTGTGAGTGGAACAGTGAGAAAATGGGGCACAAAGAGGCTCAAAGATGGATGGAAAACCAAAAAAACCTAGAGGAAAATGATCGAGGGAGAGGTAGAGGGATGGAGGGAATGTGCAGTGTGGTGTGAAGCAGAAAACAGTGGAACTTTGTTACTCTCATGCGCGCGCGCACACACAAAAATGCTTAAAGAGAAATTTTCCTCTCTTACTCTTTCTCTCTCTCACTCCACAGGTGTACAGTTACTTTATCGAAGCCACATTGTGTTTTGTTTGGCAGTTGCAGGAACATGGCTCATTTTCCCAAGCTATTTTTATTTAATGTCAAACTATTATGACGTTAGAAGTTTTAAAGATTGAAAGCAGCTGATATTCAACTTGTTCTGCTTTAGGACCCAGATTTTATTTTTATATACATTGTCAAGAGGCAACAATTTATAACACAAAAGCAAAAAAATATTGAGATTCGTTATTTTCTGATGCACTGAATAGGGCCATCAATATTTACAATTATTAACAGAGCACAACACAAACCATATTTATCCTTCAACTTTTTTATTTTATTTCAAAGTGTCTCTCCAAAGCTGTATTTATATGATCATAAATACAGTAAAACATGAATATTGTGTAATATTATTACATGTTAAATGAGTAGATCTATACTTTAGTGCCTATTAATTGCAAATAACATTCTCAATTTGACTTTGTCAGGTTCAGGGTTCACGGTATTACCGCAAACATACCATTGCAAAGTTTTATCACCTTCCACCTGAAGATCCTCCGGTCACCTCCCTTCCTCCACCAGAGCCGCCCCTTCCTCCTCCTCCTCCTCCTCCACCATACGGCCGCGGCCCTGCATCCTACCGGAATCGGCGCTACCACCGGAACTCCTCGCGTTTGCGGACCCAGACCCTTCCGTCTCCTGTCACACACGCCTCCAGGACGTCTCCACCTACTCTGTGTGATCAGGAGGGCCGCATGGAGAAGCTCCAGAGGGATGTGGAACTCTTTCGGGCTGGATGGACAGGCCACCGCACACAGTCCCTCTTTTCTCTGCCTACAGATGAGCCCCGCTCCTTGTGTGCCTCCCCGTCAAGCTTCCGTCCTCGCTGCTTCTCTTCCATGGCTACTCCAATTTTCCGTGTCAATGTCGATACGCTAGTGGGAGCTGAAGAGACAGATGTGGACACAGGACAAACCATCAGCGCCAGCTCTGTGGACCTGTCAGTGGTCTCAGGTTATTCCCATCCACAGCTGAGGCCCCATCTAAAGGCCAAAGCACCACGGCCCAAGTCAGCTCCTCCAACAGATGGAGGTCTTGACTTTGCTGAACTGACCTATAATAACAAATCCTTCTCTGTAAGACAGACTTCTGTGCCGCTTAGAACACAGAGTGTCTCTGCAAAATCTACACCTATAGTACACAAACCACAGCTGAAGAATGTGTGGGTCTCACAGCCAGATGCGCTGCAGGACAGCGGACAGCAGAACGGCAATGGTATTGCAAACATAGATGACTGTAGTCAAGAAGGCACTGCGGAGGATGAGCAAGAATTTTACATCTGACACGTGCAGGACCGTCATCTCATTAACATGTATGCAGACATCCTCATGTCTTTCCAAACCCATAATACTTTGGGTCATCTTCGGAAGACAAAGTAAGATATCTTTTATGAAACCTAAGAAGTTTCTGTCCCTTTCATTGCAAGTCCAGGAGACTAAAACTTATTTAAAATGATAATTGAACAGTTTAATCCAAAACTTTTGAAAATATACAATCACTTTATATGAACAGATTAAATTTAAGCTTTTGTCCTAGTGGAGAGAGATTTATTATGACAAATAAATGACAGAATTTTGGGGTAAACTAACCCTTGTAAAAGCTTTGATGTTGTAGCAAATGTGTTTTATTATCAACATGCGATGCTTAATGTGCATTCATGATGAATTACTTTACTTGTTGTATGCGGTTATATTCTGTAATGTTTCATAATAGTTTTATAATAACAAAAGATCAATTGCTGATGTCAGAAAACTCAAAATGAATGTAACTCTACCACCTAGTGGTTGAACATTGCAACTACACAGGTGCTAGACACTTGTATTATGCCACATCACAACTTTATTAGAGAAAAAATATTTACTTCTCTACAATTTGTAGATTTTCACTATTTGTTATGTATAAGAGTTTAGGAAAATTGTTTTGTGTCTGGCCTGAGTTTACATTATCACATATTTTAAATTATATGTACATACTTTGTTTTAAATATCAGTGACCAAGATTTTATTAGAATGACTTCTGTGCAAAATACCAATGATTATGTGGATAGACAAGAAAATAATCAAGGAATTCATTAATGTTTGCATTTACAAATATAATGTAATGATGTTATTTTTCAGTTCATGGTGTGAATTACTTTCTATTGATGTGATGTAATAAAACCGAATAATTATTATGTTTATTATAAGGCTTAGCAGCTGTTTCTAGTAGAGAAAAAATTGAAAATAAATTGTGGGAAGTTCTTCTCATACTTCTACTACGATTGGTCATTGGGTCCTGTTATACATTTTTTTTTTTTTTTTTTTTTTCAAAATTCTTTATTGCATGTTATGTGGGCCTATGCCTGTTTATCATTAAAGGCCGCTATTATGATCTGATTCAAATATTGGCAAATGTATTCTGCATTAGGTTATTGAGCCATGTAAAAAAAGTTACATATTTCTCACGTAAGCCTATATCCCTTTTAATTCAACCACCCCATGTTTATTTTTTCTTTATTTTTTCCCGAAAACAAAACATTAAGTACCAGTCACCTAACTAAATATATATATATAAAAAAAATGTTTCAAAACATGGTTCAGTGTAGGGTCAAAGATGTTTTCAACAGTCAAGGCATCATGTTTCATAAATTCATGTAACCTGTTGATGCTCGTGCACATATACGTAGGCTACGCATAGAGGACAGGCTCCGTCCTTGTGAGTTGCCCCTGTCAGTGCCAGAACACCCCCTCCCCCAACTAATTCCGTGAGCGTACCTGGCACATCGCTACGTCGATACAAGCTCTCAGTACTAGCGCGCTCCGGCACTGGACTAGGATTCTGTTAATCCGGTCCAGCAGCCACAGAGCTATGGAAATAGGGCAGGAGAGGTGAACGACAGAGAGCACTCACCAAATAGCACAGAGCTTTAGTTCCAAAACACAAATCTTGGACAGACCCTGCTAGAACATAAATCAGCAAAATCAATAATTATAATCATTATTATTATTACTACTACTATTAACCCATAACATATATTACTATTACTACGACTAATAACCTATTACCTACTATATATGAAGAGTTCAGATGCAAAAGCCTCTAAATGCCATTTGAAATTTTCTTCTTTAATGATGATTTTTATCAAACTTGTATATTTAAGTTCAGTGATTTCACTTAAATAACAATTAATAGGTAATTGTCATTGCCATTTAAGTGAAATCACTAAACTTAAATTTACAAGCTTGATAAAAATGATCATTCTAGAAATTTTCAAATGGCACTTAGAGGCTTTTGCATCTGAACTCTTCATATATATATATATATATATATAATATTTAATTTAATAACAATGAGAATAATAGTAATTATTATTAGTAGAAGTAGTAGTAGCAGTAGTGCTCACATAATTATTTTATCATAACAATATGTATTGTCAAGCCACGTTCTACCGGGGTTTTTGCAAAAGCAAGAGCATCCTTAGTTGATACTGTAATAATATTATATTGGCCCTGTCCCGAATGGCATCCTAAACACTCACGGTCTTCAGTCCGAGCTTTGGTGACGTAATGGTGCTTTGGCTCCTAAATGGCACATTTCATGTGGACTCGCGGTCTTGTGTGCTTAAATGGGCTTTATGCTCAGCTGCACTACTTCCTGAACTTCAGCCAGCTTCTTGTTTCCTGTCTGCCATTATTGGCCAAATTGATTAATTCAGGTGTGTCTGATTATTGTTGCCATGACAACTGAGGTCAGGCACACCTGGATTAATCAATTTGGCCAATAATTGCAGACAGGAAACAAGGAGCTGGCTGAAGTTCAGGAAGTATAGTGCAGCTGGGAATAAGGTCAATTGCGTATGCTTGCCAAGTGTACGAGTCCGTAGGGTGTCCCTTTTGGCATTTCAGAGCTCAGTGTGCTTGTGAGTTGCTGCCTTTGTGCCCTCAATGCGTACTTAAGCGAAACCTGCACTTTCGCACCCTCCACACGAGTTACCTACCCAATGATCATTGCAAAGTTGCGAATGCCCAATTAGATAATTGAGGGGAGGAATTCCGTGGCTGTTTGAATTTCGGTGATGTGATGTCATCAAGCCTGTCCCAAAATTCACTCTTGTGTGCCCTCATGGACTCGAGGCCAGTGCCCCTTAGGTCTGCAATTCCTGACGTCACCAAGTGTGAACTGGAAAGAGGTCTACAAGGCCGGAGTGTGCCATTTGGGATCCAGCCTTTGACTGTCGGGAATAAGTGTGCTGCGGAACTCGCTTCAGTCCGGGCTCGGCAAAAGTACACATTGAGGGTGAATATTGTCTGCAAAGGATGCAGTTCTGTCACTTAAAACGACAAATGGGATAGCCTCGTGGACTTAAGCAACATGCATGTGGCAGCCATTGTAAGTCCTTCACCGGCGGTCACTCTAGGCAAGTTGTGTCCTCTTCATTGTGTCTACTTGTGGGTCTTCAGATGGCTGTAGAAGCTAAACCACAATCCGCTTACTTTGGTGCAGTGTGGGCAGAGGAGAGTGGTGATCGTTGGTGGTGGTTGAGTCTTTTTGTCTTTCTACTGCATTATTCTAGTGGTGATACAGGTCATGTTGGCTTCCTCCAAGACTCTGATGTTGGTACGTCTGTCCTCCCAGGTGATCCTCAGAATCTTTCGTAAGGATCTTTGATGGTATTGTTTCATTGGCTCTTGTTTCATGGTGCCTGCTGTAGGTGGTCCATGACTTGGCTCCATACAGCAGTGTTGGGAGGACAGCGGCTCTGTAGACCAGGAGTTTTATTTGGATTGGTCTCGGACTTGAATACGTTTATCTTCCCTGGGGATTCTTGACAGTGTCTCGTCGTAGAAGGTCTCTTTTATTTACTCTTTAGAGTCTAAAGTAGGGGCAGGTGCTCACAACTGTTGCTATCTGGTTGCTGGCAAGCACCCGTCTGGGTGACGGATGGTCATGATATGCTCATTAATTCACTAGTTCATAGAGGTGGCTGATAAGCTGGTCGCCTAATAGCAAATCCAGGCTATCTCTGACACACAGCACAGGACAAAAATGTGTATAGACCATTTCACAAGATGTAAACAACACTGGCCCAGAAGCACTTCCTGTTTCATTTTTTTAACACTACATAAAAGCTGGGATAAAATACAACCAACAGAACATTTAAAACTGAATCAAAAAGTTAAACAAACATCTTTAAGATGTTTTCTTTACATGTGAAATAAAGAAAACAGTTACAAACTGAAACAGGAAGTGCTTCTGGACCAGTGTTGTTTACATCTTGTGAAATGGTCTATAAAAAAGATAAGATTAGAAAACCTATACACATTAATTTCAGAAGCATCCTCAGTGATTTGATTCTGGAAGTATTATTTGATTTGATTCTAGATATTAAAGCTGTAGTATACGATGTTGAAAATCAGTCGAGAAAGCCTGAAACGGGAGGGACGTTTTAAAAAAACTCATCCCGCCTCTCCACACACACACACCCCTCCCCTCTGCTACGTAACGAATTGAACAACGTCACTCAGTCAAGTTGTGATCATCATACTTTCACAACATTGCTTAGTCGCTTCAATCACATCACAGTGTTTCCTCTACATTCATTCTCCCGTGGCGGGCCGCCACACTTAAAATCCTCCCGCCACGGCTGCAGCTTCTCAGTGACGTCCGATATTCTGCATAGTATTATGTTATTTTGTTAAGCCCCACTAAAGCATAAAAACTTTGTGTAAAGCCAAAATCAAGTTTTCACCCTATATTTCCAGATTCTAAAGTCATTGCATAATGTGTAATTTTAGTCGCTAAGTTAAAGTTAACGGAAAGTCATCTCGCCTCAGTCATTCTCCATTCAGAATTCACACAGCGCGTCGCGTTCGTTTGCGACACGACGACACTCTCTTCAAGGTCAACATTCCCATTATTATACTTCATTTGTAGATAAAGCATATGGTCTATGGTTTTCATAAAATGACTTTATCTTGCTGGAGTGGAGTTTATTGCCCATACCTTTCACATTCCCTTTATGTAAGATTAGCAGTCGAGAGAGTGCTATTGTTCTTCATGCGCACTGAAATTTAAAACTGTTAAAAGAAAAGGCTCAAAAACTGTTGCATATAGAATACACTAAGCATTAGTGCTGCACGATTAATCATATCGCAATCGTAATAGCGATCTCAAACCTATGCAATTATATTAACGCAAAATGCCGCCGATTTTATATGAAATAAAACAAATTAGGGCTATTAACGCAGCATCTCTTCTTTTTGTCATCCTTTGACTAGTGTTACACGATCCTGTTCTTATTCGTGCAAATGCCTTTTCGCATTTTGCACGACAAGAATGAAAAGCTGCCTGTGATGCCCTAAATGAGACTCGCAGAAAGACGCGCGCCATAATGCGCATGCACTGACGCGGCCAGATTACAGTTCTTCTTTCGAGCTTGAACGAACAATAACACACACAATTATGCCAAATGTCGTTTTGTCGAGTATTCTTCATAACGTAAAGAAAAGTCTTAAGGACGAAAAGAGTTGTGCTATGAGGCGCATGTGAGGTCCGCCGTCTCGGCAACGGGTGCTCTTAAAGGGCCAGCAGCGAATAAAGCGTTCTGTCAGTTCAAGTAAAAGAACAAAGGGAAATTAGAGAAATTACTCACTGATCTTGACTAAAGAACTTTTGTAGCTTTAATAAGGATTATTCTATATATAATTTATAATTCATGCAGCACATACTGTTTGATAACTTTATTCAATTTCTGTATCCTACCTGTTAAGAAGGAAGGGCACAGGTAAATATGGTTTTTTATTATGGGTTTATGTGGGGATTGTTTGAAGTTCACTTAATTTAAAATTTGTTAATTTTTTTTAGCCTAATAATTTTTTTTAAAAAGTTGATAGCTTTCACTGTAATGATGGTTTGGTTGATGGTTTATTGATCATTATAGGTGTATCATCATTTAGTTGTTGTCTGTAGTTTGAGTTGAGAAATAACATTAATACACAGAATTGATCACTAATCTGTGTGTGCATTTTACTTTAGAACCAAGCAAGTTTGGACTCATGAAACATTTTATTATATCGGAATCGCATATCACAATTGCAATATTGACCTCAGTAATTGCAATGGCAATATGACATTTTCCCCAAATCGTCCAGCCTACTAAGCATATATAGATATAATCCCTTCGCTATGTTCTTTTCAATGTGAAGCATTGCTTGCTGTGACTTGGTGTTGCTTCAAGTGCATCATTCTGCACACGGGATGCGCATGATC